TTAAGCCTATCATTACACTGGCTCATGATACAAGCTTGCATTATACAGTAGAAGTGAATTTCAGATGTTTTACTGGCCCTTACAGAAACTGAAGTGTTTTCCTTTTCCTTCATTTTGCTATTGCTCTGGCATTACTCGACAGCATCCCCAAACATCTAGAGATGTAAATATAAATGCTGTCAGGAAATACTTAATTCATAAATTTAATTAGAGGACACTGAATGTCTCTATAATGACTTGCTGCAGCAGTGGTAGCAGGAGGGTAAGCTGTTGCTGGTAGCTCAAAGGCTTTTGTTCATATTAAGCAGTAGCAAGAAATTTTTCCGCATAGGAGAACAAAAAGAGCAAGTCAAGTGTATTCTGTATTAAACTAATAACCCATGTAGAGTGTTGTTATTTTTTTTTTTTTCCTAAATAGGCTAGAGGTCTTTTAAAAGCTCTACATTTACCCTTGGTGTAAGCACTCAACTGCACAAAGACAGACCGATGCTGTGCACCCATCACATGGATGATCTGCGGGTGCTCACAGCTTTCCGCCAGGCTGCACTGCTGAAAGCTCAGCTGCGGGACGCCTGGGAGCTCCCCAGCGCTGGCACACCGGGACAGGGACTGCACCAAAGGACCCAGGTGACAGGGCGTGATTTTGCTCTGAACAGGGTGGATATGCAGCTCAGGCTTTAGAGACACCACTTAGAGCATCGCTTCTTTTCTTTTTGAGAGATTAAGCTTGTCAATCATTAAAGCACAAGCCAAAAAGAACACCATCAAGTAAACAGAGAGGGCACGAAAAAAAAATTAACAAAATCTGTATTACAACTTATGTAACACTGAGAAGCTTATGTCACATTACATGTGCTAAGATATATACTTCTATTTAGAGCTTATTCATCACTATGATCTTGCTAAGCAAGATGTAAGCAGTGAGTGACGAAAGGGTGTAATGCCTCGGTTTGAAAATCAGACACGTAAAGAACATCTTGACATCACTCTCCAAACTGGCCTTTCTTAAGGCCCTAATAAACATTATGCAGCAGGGGAGAAGCACATCTTAAATTAAATAGGACTCCATTCCTCCTAACAAGAGGCATGCTTTTCAGGATGGTAGGACAAGAGAAGGGACGACATGGGATATTTCTCTTCCAGGGAGGTTAAAAAAATCATTTGCTTTCCCACTGCCAAAATGCAAGAGGAAGAAAGAGACACAGTGGAAATGGAGCAGATGAATAGTAGTTCAGTTGTTTTAGACTGGACAATAGGAAGTATTTCTTTGCAGAAGGGGCTGTTGGGCGTTGGAATGGGCTGCCCAGGGCAGGGGGGAGTCCCCATCCCTGGAGGGGTTGAAGAGTCGGGCTGAGCCAGCGCTGAGGGATCTGGGGGAGTTGGAAACGGTCAGGGTGAGGTTCATGGTTGGACTGGAGGAGCTTCAAGGGCTTTCTGACCCAGGTGATTCTGTGATTGTGTTCTGGATACCTTCATGCCACAGCACCCTGAGCTACACATTAGCTTATGTCTGTTCTCACAATAGACTTGCTTTTTCAGGCTCAATATGAATACTTTGAAATATCTGCAGACTGATAATTTTTTTTTTCTACTCCGAATGAATAGTAATCAATGCCTCTTTTCCTCTACTTTTCAGAGCTTGCTTCCCTGGGGGAGAAACCACCAGACTTAGAGAGAAATGGAGGCAGGAACAGAGTTGCGTCCCTACACACTCAGCGCAGCAGCAGATTAAAGAAAAGTATGAGTTCATGTTAGCAAACATTAACTGACCAAAGGTTTTCATTGGATGAATCTCTCCGAGGTTTTTGGTCTCACCATGGGTGAAGAAAAAGCATTTAGGCTCAAATTACAGGAGCACTGCTCCCATTAATAAGGCAGCAACATTAACCTCCCTCTCCATCAAGTCTATAAATTATCACTAGGAAGAAAAAGAGTGAGGAAGAGGAAAATAAAGCGGGTATTGTCTTCTCACTATAGCATTCAATCACATGCACAGCAAGATGCTTCAGAAACTTGACACAATTACAATATAAAGGCACATCACAAAATCCTTTGGCAAGACCAGTCCTGATCACCTCACAACAGCCAGTTAGTTGTTTGATGGTAGTTTTATGTAAATAAAATTTGTTCTGTGAAAACAGCAGCTCATACATCTGCTTTCTAATGCTGTAGCATTTACATCTCAAACATACATGCTCAAAATTCACACCGATACCTTAAAACACAAACACTGTTCTGTAACATGTAATTAAAACACAACTGACTGCACAGCTGGTTCCATTCTTTGAACTGAATCTTTCTAAGTTATTACTTGCATGCAATCCTGGGTACCCATCTTTGCTTGAAACTAAAATTCTCTGTTCTAGTCTTCAGCCAGGATCTAGCCTGTAGACTGTGAGTACTTTTCAGTACCACAGCTTGCTTGTGTCTGACTGCTCACAAACTCCTTCCACCTTAAAAATGAAGGGAAAATTTCCAGTGAAGAGGCCTATTACTCTCTGAGCACACGCCTGTACAAGTCCCATTACCTCTAGGTGACAGTCATAAGGATGCTTACGGGAACGACGGACCTCTTACCCGTCTGTTTGAGCTCATCAGCTCTGCCAGCACACGAAGCCAAAGCCCCAGAAAGTCATCTCCAGGTACAGGATGTTTTGATAACCCAAGAGGAATATGTAGTTGAGAACAGGCAAGGAGAAAGAGATGCAAAATGGTTTTATCCCTCAGGTGCTACTAATGCAAATGAAACTGAAATGAGTAAGGTCAGCTCTTGCAGCACCTCAGCTGGTGCTTAACTAAGTAAAGACAGTGTTGTTTTTTAAACTGAAACCCAAAGCAAGCAATAAAATGAGAACAAGATGCTACCAGACAGATCAATCTACTGCCAGCTTCTTTCACTACCAAGGGACAGCCAAGGCCAACTCATTTTAAACTCTCCACGAATTATCCTCTTATCTGGACATTACCAGTACCATAATAGCCACAGACAGATTTAGCCAGTCCCAAAATGTCTTTAAGCAGACAGCCAAGCAAACAAGAACCTGTATTTCTTCATTTTCAAGAGAACAAACTGCTTCTAGGGTGTTATTAGACTGTGGAAAAAATAGGTCCCAAGGCAAGATAACAATAAAGAAAAGTCCACTGCAGTACCCTAACTCTGTTGCCTCACTTTTCAGACTACCAAACCACAGCAGGTAGACATCCAATTGCAGCACCTACATCTGTCATTTCTATAAAAAGCAACTTCACTCTGCTACAGGTCAGAGCAAACAGTGGTTAGCACATAAGGCAAAGGCTATCTGTTCTCCACCCTTCACCCAGCATAGATGTTCACCACACTGAATGGCAAGATCCCAAGAGCAAGGATGACAAAGCACAGTAGAGCACAGCACCTCAAACACTGACCACGGGTTTTCAACACCCAGTTACTGTCTGTCACATCCAAGCATGTTGCAATTTAAGCCCTCAGTGCTGAGGGGCAGAGGAACCGAAAGTTGAGTTCAACAAAGGAATTGCCTTTGGATCTTTTATCCAGTGTGATAGGAACTGACTACAGAGTGCTCAGGAATAGAGGAACAATTAGCAAAAATAGTGTGGGATTCAGCATCTCTTCCCTACAAACAAATCTTGTTTATGTAAAGCCTAAGGGATGAGTGTGATAGCTTGACAAGCTAAAATGATGAAAGTGAGTGGATGCATAATAGACTGTCATAAACCAGAGGGAGAAACATTTGATATTTTGCAAAGAATATATGTACATTTTTGTTTGGGGCTTTTTTTTTTTTTTAATCATGAAGAGCAGACATTGGGTTTGTGGCAGGGCTAGAAGAAAACAGGTGTTCACAACTTGCTTCTTAGTTCTATGCATCAAAATTAACTGCCAAAATACTAGCTTCCAATTGTCTGTTTTCAAGCAAAATCTTGCTCTGCTGCCTGGGTAACCAGAACACTTGTACACCACTGATGACAGGGACCTTGGGTATTTGATCACCTTCTGCCTTTACCTTTCCCTACCAACACAAAACAAGACAGGGAATTGCATGTGTTCACCCCACACTGTATTTATATAAAGCTTTAAATGCATTTTTTCCCCAGTGTTGAGGCTTTCTGGAAACCCCTGATACTACGTGTCAGGTTCATCACTCAGCTATGAAGGCATCAGATTATGACTTCCCTTTAGAAAAACAGAAGTTTTATTTTCAGATGATGCAGATGAATTAAGAATATCACTAAAAGCTGGGGTACCAATATGTGGCCATGGTGATATGATGGAAAATTAATCTGTAGTTATCTGCACCAAGAAGTTGATATGAGCAGCCAGTCCTAGGGCCAGAGCTGCCTTTACTGTACTCCTCCATCCCAGTGGGATTTACAGTGGTTAACCGGGTCTCTAATTTCCATAACAACAGGTAGGATGCTACACAGCTCCACTTGCACAAGTAGACAAAATTAGATCAGAGCATGCTCAATGTTTTATCAACATGTATTATGACAGCACAAACATCCAGAACAGTCACTGTAGGAAATACCTAGGGTTCAAAAGGGGAACAGAGGAAGGCTGTTTGATAGGGGAGGAAATACATGCTCGGGATGCAGATAAAAGCACAGGTGTCTCTTTCTTTAGGAATCTGGAGATGAGTCTGGAAAGAAAAGGTCAAGTGAGTTTCCCCTGAAATGGTGTAACTCACTAAATGGTGTGGGGCTCTCATACAGTCATAAAGCAGCAGCAAGGCAACGTGATTACAACTTATAATTCCCTGACCTACCAGTATATATGAACAGGTAATATTTTGTCTGAAAACATTATAGGACCCCTTTAAAAAAAATAAATCTTTAAATCATTATGGAAAAAGCACTGCAATGCTCCTAAACAACAAAAGCTCTGAAGAGAATGTTTCAAGTTCTTCATTTAACTTACATCCACATGTACGTAATAACTAAGGGACTCTACATTAAAAAAAGCCATTGAATAACATACACTTAATAATCTAATTGCTCACCTTCCCATCATAGCGCTTCACTATAAACTGGTCCAGACCCAGATCTGAAAAAGAAAAAAAAAAGTTCTTAATAGTATAAAATTAAGTATTTCCAGAGTTTTCTGTCTGAGTGAGGATTAGAAAGTAAAATGCACTGTCTGAATAGTATCAGTAGAAAGTATAAGGACAGAATGAAATTTTTGGGGGCTTCATGAATTTTGTAACTTGTATTTTGATCATGAAAGAAGACAAACTGATGGCATTGGAGAAGCAACCCTCCTTCTAACAGGGACAGTAGGAGCACAGCTCCCAGCACCTCTCAAAAGCCTGAAATACCCACCCCAAAGCAGAAGACTTCAGTGCTATTACCAGGCAAACATTTCGCCTGTGATGCCCCATGCAGATGCACGCTCATAAAACTCTTTAGTGTTTTTAAAAACACCTTTTAAATGGCTCACAAATGGGAACACAGAGAATTGTTCCCATAATTATTTGGGATATTCACAAATAAATCCAAAATTTTAGGATAAAATTGTTCAGAAATAGATTTTAAAGGAAATAAGTTGTAGCTATATTTGTAAGAAGGCAACAGCTTTAGCTAGAAAGGCATTTTGGAGAAAGGTATGGAGAGTGGTTATTATACTAGTAAACTGAATCTCTCATACCATCACAAAATGTTTTTTCTATATTGAAGAGGTGAAAAAAAAAAAATCCCAGCATTTGCAGAGTTAAGGCGCAGAGCTCTCAATCTAATCTGCAATGCCCAGCAGGCTATATGTACACTGATGAATGCACATATAAGCAAGATGACAAAAATATTCAGGAAGATTAATTATCTGAGCTTTGCAATCCAAAGTCAGGAAGATGCACCCTGAGAGGAGATTAAGCAGAGCTCAAACCAAGCGCTTCCCAGAATTTGGGAGAGCACGGACCAATTTTCAGTTCTCTGAAGAATAAAACCCCTCCGCAGATCTACATCCCTTGCATTTACTGCCCCTGTTTATGATAACTATCACATCCTCATTTCAATTTAAATTAGAAAAGAAGATGGAAAAAAACCCCAAACAACAAAATAAAATCTCTCCCAAGCCTGCTGTGTCACCTGCTTGTGAAGGAGGATAATAAAACCCTTCCCGTCTGCTGGAAAGGTTCATAATGGTTATGGTGCAGAAAATGGAGTTATTAATTGCTCCAGGGTGACCTTTCTGAACCAAAGCACCTAAAACTCCTCTGTTACCAATTTCAAAGGTCAAGGCAATTGTCAGAGGGTTTTCTGGATCCGTGCATGTTCAAGCCAGAAAGCACTTTTTCAATATTTTGTACACCTGATAACAGAGTGCAAATTGCCTACTCAGACATATTTTCAGACTTTAATAATCTTCTGAATTTTGTCCTCCTCACAGTTGTGGGTATAAATGCATTACAATAAGTATTGTCACATTTAGAGGCAGGATTCATTTGATACATGTGCTTATTTTACCAGAAACACGTTATTTGGTCAGAGCTCACCCCTGACCATCCATCTGGATGCTGACCACTAAGCTGAGCTTAGCTTATGTCCACATGTCACAATAAAGTCATTTCTCAATCACACCTCCTGTTCCTATGCCAGGAAATAGTGCTGTAAGGCATATCCCTGACAGCACGACATTACACACGTACTCACAGAAAGCTAAAAAAGGACACAGGTTAAAAATAGCAAGTGAAAGTATGTCTTAATGGCACACACCCTGCCCCCCGCAACTGGACACTACTACTGGGAAAGCAAACAGGTTTCAAAGGAGACCCAAAATGAACGGATGCTCATGTAGACAAACAGCAAGAAAAGATGAACTAACAACTGTTTATATATATATACATATATAAATAAAATATATATTTCTAAATATGGGTAATACTTACATAATAAATAATAAATAATAACATATATACAAGTTTGTAGATACATGTAGAGAAGTTATTAAAAACAGCAAATGACACCTAAAAAGGCAGAATACCAGTACCTGTACAAAAGGAAGAGTTATTACAAACTAGTATTCTGCACAGATGTCACATGAGGTGGGCAAAAAGCAAGGGGATGAGAGTATGATCGGGGGGAATCTAAAAAAGCACCACTATAATTAACAGCTATAAAATACAGTAATGATGGAATCAGTGAAAGAAAAACACACTGGTGAAATGAGGACTTCTGAATACAGGGTAGTTTGTCTCTAGACCAGGGTTTGATCCAGCCTCATTCACCTAAGCACAGAGACATTTGTTTCCCTGTGTTTGCTCAACTGCTATGGCATGTAGCAAAAAGAGAGGGAAAACCAAAGCATCTGGATAACCTGAAACGATTCCTGCAAGGCACTGAGTGATGGACCTTGACTTTCACACAGCTTTTCTGTAAGTGCATCCAAACCCCTCATGCCAGGTGTAGGAGCTGCCAGGTCTGTCCTCAAGTCAAGAGCTCCAAGTGTTCCATTATTTGCTGAGGAAAGTGCTTACACCACCACAGCAGTTTGAGAATGTAGATACCATTACCTGTATCATGACAGCCTCCTTTTGACACAATCACATCCGACGAGAAGCAAATATATAACCTCGGTTTATGCATGTCTCACAGAGCAGGGACAGAGATTTATATGAAAATGCAGCACAAAAATTCGTCACTTCTGGTGCTGTCTTTTCCATGTCACTGCCTCAGCACGCTCTGGAAGACAGCATTACCTATTGCAAGCACAAGCATATTGGTTCACATCAGTGTGTTACGCTCACCCTTTCTCCCAACCATGCACAATATCCCTCTGCTCTGCTGCATTAACTAAGCTGCACACTTCAGTCCCTCTATAAAAGTGCCCTTACCATTGCTCCCAACAGAACAAGCAAATTCAAAAGCTGAAAAAGGGTGTTTAAATGTTCAAGGCATATATCTTTACTCAATATGTTTTCCTTTTTCCAATACAGATTATTTTCTTTTTTATCAAGTTAGCGATGTGTTTTTCCACAAGTCTTTAATCTTAAAAGTTGACAAAAGAAAACCAAGAAAAAAAGAGGGACTGTTGCCTGATGCCTGTGTTCTTCTTTCTTTACATTACACCAAAAAAACCTCAAAAGGTTTTTCCTCCAAGACTTTACAATAGGAATTCAGCATCCGCGTAGGCTGGAGAGCTAACGGAAACACCGCACAAACGAGAACAATCACATCTGAACAAGGAAAGGAAAGAATGTTAGTTATTACAGCTCTGTTATTCAAAAGGTGGTGTGCTAAGTGAAAGCTACCACAGGATTGCCTGTGATACATTCATAAAACAAATATCCTCTGGCTGGGCTATTGCTGACGAGCTGCAGGAACACAAGCTAATAGGCACGTTTAACAGTAAAAAAGAGCTTTTCCACCTTTCACTGAAAAGTAGGGACTGGAATATCATTCTCCCAGAAATGGATTAAAGGATTTCCTTCAAGACAGACAGCAAGGAAATCCAGAAGTCGTTTCAGGCGGATACCTGGCTGCTTCACGAAGCCTCCCTGGGACTGAAGGCAGCACAAATGCACACCATGGCTACTCCAGACTGCACGGTGACCACCCAGAGCAGCTGGGCTTTGGTGCTTGTTTCTACTCAAATCAACCCAGAGATTTCGCCATGACCCACCCCAGAATACACCTTTTATTTACATGAAACACTGTATAACACCCCACCTTTCACTATACACCCAGATTACTGAAGCCCCTTTTGCTCCCCCAACCAAAGGTTCTGCACCAGCTGCTCACTTTCAGCGGTGCCAGTGGTGACCTGCAACAACTTCCAAATTTTCTCACCATCACCAGCTTGCTTGCAATCTTTAAGTGCCACTAGTACTCCTACAAACTCTGATACCACCTAAAATAGTATCATAATATAAAGTACACAACATGAAGTACTATCAGCAGAACCAAAAGAGACAGCAGCACTGCCGTGGAGAACCTAAGCAAGTAACATCACTAGAAATGTTATTTCATATTGGACTGACACCACTTAGCCACCAATTCTAAGAATATCAGCCTTCACTCTTACTCATGCGATGGTATTTTCACAGCACTCTAAAAATAAAAATGTTTCAAAATAAATCAAAATAACTTACTCTCACTGCCTGCCACAATGGGGAAGAGTGTGTTCAACAGGAGAATCCTATTCTCTGCGTTTACTTCTTTCTTTTTGGGCTGGGGAGGATATTTTAATGGAGAAGGAATTATTTATGTAAAGGAAAAAAACCCACAGAATAACCTGCTGTTACTCTTGTTCAGCTCTAATCAAATCTAAAGACAAATGCTTATTATATTTCTACTGATTAATGAAAACATACATTCCACAGATTCACTCAAAGCTAACTACCACAACTTGATAAATATCTAAACAATTACTAAGCAATTCATGTTATCCTGTAAAAAATAAAAAAGAGCCATGTGCAGCAGATTACAGATTGCAGTTTTAAAAAAGTATTTAACAAACAAGCTTCCAAAAGAAAGATTATATTATGCCAAGAACACAGTTGAGATGAATTAGAAGCCATCATGATTTCCTCTGGGATGCCAGCAGTTTTCCACTGATGGAAAAACCTTTTCAACTCCTTCCAGTCTTTATACCCCTGTCAGATTTTTCACATTATTTGGATAACATTTAATCATCATATTCTTTCCCTTCCCCATTGCTTGCTATATAACATGGACTCTTATTCTTGCAACTAAATGAGCAAAATGGCTAATTACCAAGACTGAAGAGCCTGGCAAGCATGCATGCAACATGCTACATTATGGGAAGACAAAATGCTGGACCAAGTTTTCCCCTCCAGAGCTGTAGATTCTGATTTTTGTATGAGTATCTCTCCCTGAATTTAAAATGTAATCTGCAAGCAAACAATGAGCTGCCTGAGATTTCTCAGGGGGCAACACTCTCAGGGTTGTGTTAAAAGTCTAAAACTGTTTTGTTCAAGGAACGACTTGGCTCTCATCTATCTCCCCTTTCTCCAACAGGCAAGTCAGTCTTGCTACGAGATGTACATACATAACACAACTGATCAGCCAAAGCAACCTGTTATCTGTACTGGAAGCCCTAATTACTTGTTTCTTCAGATGAGTATCACGAAAGCATACACATAAATGCACCTCTTGCTCCTCCGTGCCTAGCTTCCTGGGGGCTCCTATCTGGCATTACAGGCTCAAAGCTGATTCCTGCCTAGAAATAATGTATATTCACAGAAAACAGTCTTCAACCTCCTGGTTCAGGAGATAACCACTGAATTACCCCTCCCTCTCACACCCACTCTCTGAAGACCTCCCCAGCACATGCATTTGGGGTAGAACACAGAAGTAAGTCTCCATCAACAAACCAGAAGGCAAGTTCATCATCTCTAGTTTCATTTTCGGTCTTAAATATCCCACTTTGAGCAACTTTAGGGATCTGAACAAGCCTAAGGAGTCCTCCCCCACCCCACCAGACAAGGTGAGCCCTTGTCACATCTCATGACTGCTGGTTCTACAGAAGATCACATTCCCATTTTACAAATTTAACTCAAAATAACAAATAATCACTCAAGCACTGCAACAATCCAGAAGCTAGCCCGTGTTCAGCTGCTCACAAAGTCCACTCATGAAAAACAAACCATTTAAAAACCAAGAACTAAGCTATAGGGCCTGATCTCTTCTCCTCTGAAACCATCCTGCACACAGAGGCTGCTGGGGCACAGCTGCTGCTTCTGGCTGAGCTCTGACAGCATGTTCGTTGTTTCATGCAGTCTAAAAAAAACCTCAAACAAACCAAACCTTCCAGGAGTTCAGATTTGAGCTGCTGCAGAGAATGGTGGACCTTGAAAGGCATCTTTCATGTGGGTGAAGTCTGGGTTAACCAGAGAGGTTAATAATGGAGTGTGCAATGGAAGAGCAAGACTGGTTTGGGTATAATCTGTCTTCGTTACAGTGTGCTGCGGTAAGACATGAATCCCTTTGTAGTTCTTTTAATCCTTACTGCAAAGACAAAAAAACCCAAAACAAACTGGTACTGGCAGAGTATGTCACAGCTCCTTCTTAGTCCAGGGTGCCCCAAAACACTCACTTGCCTTAGAGAAATGATCAATGGAGAATGAAAACAAAGTAAGTTCTGGAAAATGAGGGAAATCAGAGACTAAGGAAAGACAGAAGGTCTAGGCAGGCCACCACCAAGCAGGTCCAACAGCTAGGCAGGACTACAGAGTCTGTGGCAGCAATGACCGGCAAGTATCAGGCACGGTTATGGCTCCTGTCAGGTGTCATGGCTTTATACGCCTGTTTCTGCAAAATCCCATGCTGTATTCAAAAAGGTGCAACATCTGAAATGGGGTTCTTGCAAACTCTAACCCTTCCTACTGGAGACTGAGATGGAGTATTTTCAGCTGGTTTTGGGCTGGGGTATGAAACAAGCGCCAGCTACGAAGTAACCAACCCTGCTCATCCAGCCTTGGAGCCGAGCAACCTCGCAGCTACCAGAGGAGGTGGGAGGGAAAAAAACAACAGAGGACTGCAGGGAGCAGATAACACTGCCCATACTCCTGTTGGCACTTGGACTTTCCAGATAAAAATATAAAGATTTTTTTTTTTTTTAACGCAGCTTTCAAGTTTAATGCCATTCTTTAGCTTATTCTGACAGACACTTCCAGGCTCAGCAGGAGTGTGTCACACCTTAAGCACATTTTGCCTACTTAGGAAAACTACAGCACAAAGTTTTACTGAACTATTAGGAGAAAGCAATCTACAGCAGCTAATGAATTGGCACTCATTTTCCCCAAGCTAGCAAAATGCAGTCTAGAATTAAGTTGACACTTTATTGACAATAAATCAAGCTTTCCCCTACGTAGTCCATAAAAATGAATCAGGCATAAGATAGCTTGCAGTAGATTAGCAGTTTAAAAATAAATACAACAGGGACTCAGATACCTCATTACTCCCTATCACTTACATTCCACACCATTTTCTCACCATAAAATAGCAGACACATGAACAGGAAGTTACTCAATGAAATTATGACCAGCAGCCTGAGCATACAGATCATGCCCTGCTCTCATCATGTCTCGGACTACTTATGCAGGACCATAATTAATTCACAGGACCAGAAGGCGGTTGCTTCACCGCACAAACCTATCAGCAAATACCACTCATGGAAAACCTTGGTGTCAGTGGGACTGCAGAAAGCAATCTGTAACTCAGTTCAAGCATTCTCCTACCTAGTTAGTACAATTAGAGGAGGATACGTCACTCCCTGAAGGAAATTTCCAAGGAGTGCTCCAGGCTACAGCACTACCCAAAGGAGTGCTCTGGGGTGAAGGGAGGATGCCCCAGCCCCAGCGAGGGCACACCCGAGTCATGACTAAGAGAGAAAGCAGCCCTGGCACTTCCCTACTAATCTATAATCTAGATTATCCCATGAGTCAAAAGTACTGAACAGATGTAAAGTACAGAAATAGACCAGCCAGCAGGTAGCAGTCTTTGTCTTATTGTAACTTCGTGTTTTAGAATCAGACCAACTGTATCTTATTTTTTACTACTAGGTTTTAAAACATTTGGGAACAAGGTTATGGCTGGTTTGACTTTACAATAACATTATGTGTTTCACCCTTCTACTGTTCATTATATATTAAAAAACCATTTACCATGATTGCCACAATGTGCAGTGCTCATAGGGAACGCCCATCCTAGCAGCAGCTTCATCTAAAAGCAAGTCCAGGACTGTAACAGTCCTCAAGACAGATTTTCAAACCAGCCAGATAGAACATGCCCATGCTCCTGCTTTGTCTGCTGATGGGCAGCCAAAGCTCAATTTCCATCTCATTCCACTTTCCAAGAGGTACTGTAAGTATCACTACAGCAATTTTCTTCCCTTACAAGCTGCTTTGTGTCATTGACTGGCAGTATTTGCAGGCACTAAAAGGCCTGACAGGCTTCACAGGGTCATTTAAGGAGCTCACCTAGCCAGGGTAGTAATAGTTACAAAGGAAAGTTAGTGGCTAAAACAGACAGATTATTTCCCATGAGTCACCTTTGCTTGTCTCTGAAGTAGGTGTTTTCTCAGCACTCTTCCACCTATTCTCTGTGCACTCCTTAAAATGCACCAAGCACAAATATTACATGGAAGAAATAAAAGAGAATGAGATGTGTTGGAATTAAACATAGGATGTTTTCTATTTTTAAGATGGCTGACAAAAAAAAAAAAATACTCACATGAGAAGTCTGACACTCAACCAGGTGCTACTGCTTTTCAAAGTACCAATTCAAGCTTTAAATAGATAAGATGGTAACACACAATTTCAGCATCTATGAACATTATCTTCTGTTTATTGCTCAAACTACTTCTTCACTGAAGATGAAGCCATCTAATTCATATGAAGACTGCAGACATTTTCAGGATTTGATGAAGACCTAAATATCAGTTCACCAATATGCTTAACACTAATGCCAGGATTATTTCTTCTTCCCTCCCGCACACACTTCATATCCTTGTTTTCTAAACACAAGTGTACATGGCATTTATTTAGCAGTTGTCATACAAGATATCAAAACAGTTTCACAGTTTGTACATAAACCCCACTCTCAAAGGTTTACATTTGGGGGTTGAGGCTCTCCATTAATGCCTGCAGAAGAAAAGGAGTTTTAATTTCACAAAAGCCTATTTCATTTTTTAACATACCCTGTGGGAGGACCAAGAAACCCAATTTCCCACATCTCACCCAAAACACAAATCTCCTCTAAAACATAAGACAGGCAAAATCATCCTGTCACCTCACAAAACCCAACCTCTGACCAATTGCTCAGGACACAGCTCTCCAAATCAGAAAAAAAAGTATTTGCTCTCCCACTGTTGCCTGCCAAACCCCATAGGTACCACAGCTGATGTGCTTCCCCGCAATCCTCAGGGAATTTGAAGCCAGCAGAGATGAGCCCCACCCTGGCCAGCAGCATCACAGCTTGGACAGGCACATGGGGCTGCCTTGATATTTAAGGTTTTCCTTGACAAAGCAACCTCCTTTTGAAGCTGTTTCAGTTGAAGGTAATTTTCACGAGTTAAGTATGAAAGAAAGTCATCTCATCTGCTTTTCAAAGGCTCATACCAACACCATCTGCTGCAATAGCACTCGAGGCAACACGGAAGGGATTAGGCTAATTTTGGGGTTGGAGCATGGAAGTGGAATAGATTGCTTCAGGAGGCACTTCTTAGCCCTACCAATCCCGGGTTCAAAGCTCTCAAGAACGACCAACACTTCTGAACCTGAACGATCCCCGTTATTTGGCTGCACCACGCTGCTGCCAGTCGGCCAGTGGCACAGACACGCTGCAGGCTCTGCTGGAGACACAAGCATGGCTCCTGCACAGCTACAGTGGTGGCTTTCTGCCTCGCTCCTGCATTCATTATATTTCTGTTAGCCTTCTGCACATTATCATATTGCCATAACACATAACATGAGAGTATCACTTTTTTTGACCGTGGCAGCACGCTAATCAGACAGCAACCCCCCTTTTTGTGGTGCACCTCTCAACATAACAAGAACAGTACCTGACAACATAATGTTTGATGGGAAGTTTAAAGATCGGGCAGGCAGAGAATGGAGAGTTTACTCTCTTCGCTGCATTAGTTCCTCCCAGTACTGCACACATATCACTTACTTTCTGGTTGTTTCTCATTAGGTGTTATCGATCTCACAAAATCCTGCGGTGTCATAAAAACCTCAGATTCACCATGCTCATTTATGACTTTCAAAGTGGCGAAGTATCTGAAGATTTTGTCCGGTGTGGAGTAGGCTCTGATCCTGTTCTCGTATTCCATCACCTGGAAATGAAATTTAACCAGCGTTAGATGTGCATGGTTCTTCTGCCAACACCCTCATTAGCAGCCACCCTTAGTCATCTGAAGGTTTTGCCACAAGACAACAAAGTTGTGTGCAGCAACACAACACTTGAAAGAAATAATGCTGAGAGGGTCAAAACCCCTCCTTATCCTCAGCCTTTGAACTACCAGGAAAATGGGAAATATCAGCTCCTGATGTCCCAGGATTAAGAGCAAACACTATTGATAAGTTCTGACTCTTAACGAAGGGAGAAGAAAAAAAGGTAACAAAATCCCTGAAGGCACTTTTCAACATGAACATAAAAAAAACCCCCACTAGCATCACATTCGTGAATCTGAAGCAGCTCAACATTTTAATGACAGTGTTGAAGGATCTGATCTGTGATTAATAAACGAAGCAAAAGAAAAAAGTCTTGGAGAGCTGGGAGAGACCTTTACTTTCAAGCCGAGACTTGGAAAAAAACTACTTGAAGCTGCAGCTGGTTGCTCAGTCACTCAACCTCATTTTTTCCTCTTTTCTATCACATTGGCACAATTCCGCAGAAACATTCTTTGCTCAGTCCTCCCCACCAATCTGCCACTTGCTAACTCTGCCAGTAATGATTATTTTGTACCTAGAACCATTTTCCCCAACACACAGCTGGAATTAATCAAAGAGAACAGAAAGCTTTTATAAACAAAATCACAACATAAGGCCACAAGAGAGGAAAAAGGCACAAAGACCTACAATTTATTATATATTATTAGAGCAGAAAACTTTCCTTCTTGGTTCAGCTTTTTATTCATGTATTATACAGCATGTTTAACAGTCCATAATGTACTTGAAACCTTCAGTACTTCTGGCCAATAGCCACAGGAATAAAAAAACCAACCAACTATCTGCTGGAAGACAAGAGGCAAGATCAAGGGTACTGCCAAGGCAGCTGTATATCATTTATGGCTTTGGTCCTGTCTCAGCCTTGTCCTTTAACTTCAACAACTTCTCCAACCTGATGTTTATCAGACAGAAAACACCCTCTCTAGTTCTTTATGTTTCTAGGATAAAACAAACCAACAGCTTTTAATCCCCCAAACCAGGCATCAGTAAAGCAACTAACGGAAAGCAAAGCCTTTCTCCTCTACATTTGTTCCAGCTCAGATCTCCAGCAAACAGCCGAAGATGACATTATCTACAATGACAATACCTAAAGCATTCTCCCCCCTCTTAGCATCACCATAGCTTTTTCATAATTCAGAAATGTCCTCACATCAACTACTACAACCAGCTCACTCTTTCCAGCAACCACCTGCATAGAAGAAATATGTTGTCCCCAATCTCTTTTGCTACTAGCCTTTGCACCTGTAATCAAACCTAATCCCGTTTTTATTGCTTGAGACCACAAGGTCCCCCAAAGAGAAGGGCACTGGGTTGAGAGCAATTGTTTTATTGCAAAGAGACAAGTCGTCTATCAGCCCAACCACAGTAAATGACAACACACACTTCTCCAGCTCTTCCCTGTTGCTATGTGTCTTTGTCTACAACTCCCACCTTGCAGGCGGTAACTTGTTACGCCAAAGTCAAAAGATGACTTGTGATTGCAGGCCCGTATCTCACTCCTTCCTTCATAAATAACACCCCTCCCAACTTGATCAGAAAAAAACCATAGTTAAGCATTTCTACCTGCAAGCAGGACAACTAAAACCAACTCCAGTATGAAGTCCAGGACTGGAGCCAAGAGCAGACACCTGTTTTGCCAATTACCAGGCCTAGCATGAAGGACACAGCCAGCATAAAGATGAACCAATAACCAAGTTGTATTTGATACAAAAGGGTCAGTACATGGGTGAGCGCTGGGGGTACAAACAAGTCAGATTATACAGAATTGACATCAATCCCACTGACCCTAACAAGGACACCGCACGACCAACAATGGGTGGGATAAATGGTGACATGCAGTCTCCCATAGAAGGGACGGGAGACAACGGAGTCAACAAACCAAACACATCAGACCAAGGAAGCCACAGACTGAATCTCTGCACAGCCCGGGTTTACAAAAGCCAGAGCTGACTGGAGCCCAGTCCCAGGAGGCGGGAGGTCCTTCCCCACCAGGGAACTCTGCACTGGGCACCCACCTCACAGACAGACACTGCCCCTGCCTGCAAGGGGTCCCAGCTGTTATCCCCAGGTGGGACACCTGACCTCGGGTTACTGACTGCGGGACCCCTGGGGCTCCTTTACCCAATGGCTCTGTCTGCCAGGCCGGCCCACCCTGGGGGGAAGCCTAAAGGGAAACTCACCCCCCTTTGGGAAGGGCTGTGGGAATCACCCACATGTCAACCTCAATTTGGGGCTGGAGGTTGAAACTCCAGTATTTCAACACCACAGACCATAACCAGCAGCTCCCTCCATCCATGACACTCTCAACATAGATTGCTTTCTAGGTAAAACACTCGTCTGCCTGAGACTTCACATTACTCCCAATTTTCCAAAACTCCGTGAAAGTTTCTCACAAGGCACTATCAAATGCTTTCCTTCAACCCAGCTAGGGAAGTTGAACCTCTCTTCCTCAGCAACTCCACTGCTGCACCAAAGACACTAGTCCTGACACTTCTGTCAATAAAATCATGTTGAATTTTATCCCATTTGACTTCACATCTGCAATGGATCTTGCCCCTACCTGTTTTAAGATCTTGCTAAGATGCTACTGACAAGCCTAATGCTTTTCTTCTCATTTCTGGAGTGTGGGCACTGCCCTTGTTCCTCACCTGACATTTTTACCTCCTTACCAGTCCAGCAACTTCACTGTCAATTCTTTCTTGCTCCAAGCTTGGGGTGATCCTCCAGGCCCCTGCTTTACTGATAGTAAGCAACCTACGTTTTGCTTCAACTTTGGGCACAGCAATTCCCCCATGCCCCGTTCAGATCCACACTGCACCTCAAGTCCATGACAACCATGACTTGCAACAGAAGCAAAGCATCCATTTACCACATGGCCCTTTCCTGGATCATTTGCCATCCCATCCTTTATCCACACGTACTACAAAATGAAAAGCTTCCTCAGATGACTGGCAGGCATTCATGAAGATGCAATTTTGAATACATGGCTCTAGAGCAGGGTCAATCTGTTGCTCAGAAGCCACACACAGCTCCCAAAGCAACACTGCATGGCTCACAAAAGCTTACTAATGACACAGGCTAAAAAAAAAACCCAAGTCTCCTGTCTCAGCATGCAGCACAACTGCACACAGACCTGCAAACCCAGAGGTTTGCCCCCATGCAGTCTGTGGCTTCATGAGAAATACCTAAGTGGTTTTGAGCTTCCCCTCCTCCAGCAAAAGCAGCTGAACACTTTTACAAAAATAAGTGTGCAGCAGGTGGAGAGCTGACCGTCTCATTTTGCAGACAGTAAAGCAGCATTTTTTATGATCATCATCTTCTGAGGCAACACTTGCCATGCCTGGCCAAAGAACGCTGACTGACCTACCATCTCCATGAAAGCTCAAAGCAGCACCTCTAAGCCCACTGCAGTATAAGAAACTGGTGTTACTTGTTAAACAATCTGAGTTTCAGATCCAGAAGGGAACGTGGTTATAAACAGCTACTCATAAAGTTTCATGGGAAGCTACTGTCAGTTTTAATTATTTCCATCTTTTTGAGTTCCAGCAATTAGCTGCGACATACACAAAACCACAATTTTCAAGAGAAACACATTTATGAAAAATTATAAGGAAAAACAGTCTTGAATAACTTAATCTAGACCGAAAAAGTAGAATGTAAAACACTTGTTTAGTGTCTCAGGCTGTTTTCACCACAAACCAAAAATCACACTTCTTCCCAACCTTCCCTACAAGAAGTGAGCAAATGCAGCAGCACTTCTTCCCTTTTGCCCGCAGCTGAACTCACAATTACTTCATTTTCGCTAGCATGATCTAATCAGCTGGCAAAAACTACAACCCATCCCTTCAATTTCAAAACTGGATTGAACACAAAGTCAGGTCAAGAAGGGAATAGCCAGGACCCTGCAAAAAGGAACAACTCATTTATTCAAGGCTGGGTGATAAACAAAAAGCAGGTGATAATACGAATGTCCTGATCTTACTATATAAATATGGAGATAAAAGCAGGCATGTATATATTTGGGTGTTCACGCCACCATTTGCAAGGGTTTTTTACATTACTTTGAAACAGTCTGGACATAAAAATAATCCCAGAAAAATCTTTCCTCCCAGGACCTCTCACCTATTGAATACTCCAAAATACTTTCCTGGCAAAGCATGCACCCAGGCAGCCACCTTTCCCCAGTACGCACCAGTCCTCGATGCAGTGGAGACCAACCAAAAATTCCCATCCTACCCCAGAACTACAGCCTCATGTAATCAGGGGCCTTCATAAAGATTATATGACCAAAAGAGAAAAATCCCTTTTTGGCATTTATTAATAGACTGTGTACTGGATGAGAAAGATGAGCAAGTAATCCCTATTGCTCTACAAGAGGAAAGCTGCTGTTGAGACAGTCAGTGTTTACGCTAAGCCTCAGGTTAAAAGGAAAAGCATTAAATCCTATGCAGACATGAAAATAAAGCTCTAAATTAACATCTCAATTCACTTCCAGAGCATCACTGGGGCCTCCCTGACTGCACAGCAAAAGGCAGAACTCCGGCAGTCCAGCTCCACTACACACATCCTAGCAGGGTATCTTAATTAGGATTCATTTTCTTGGCTTTTTGCACACTAAAATGAAGTCTTAGCATGACTAACACTCCTAAGGCAGCATACCTGCAGCACCCAGCAAAGACTGCAAGCAGATCTTGATAAAGAGCAGTCCTAAGTGCCGCATGCAAACTCTTTTAGCAAATTAATTAATGTCAGCCCACCCACATCATGTATTACTGCTCATTAGCATGCAAACTATAAAAGCATTCAATCTTTTCCTCTCCTCCCTTATTCAGTCAGGACCTGTACGTGGCGTAGGCTTCAAGACAACACATGCCCTGGCAGCAGCCACATACGATCCCAGCCACAGCAGATGCCGAGTGATTTATGTTTCAACTTCCTCTTCACTGCATCACTACCTAAAATAACAATGTCATGCCTAATTTATTATTTCACCACTAATCATCAACTTAATTAAAATGCAACACTGGGATAACAAACAAGTGTTAAATAGTTTCAATTAAGCTTAATTATTTTCTCAAGGAAAACCCTACACTATTTTCAATTAATTATGGAAGAGTTGGAAAGGGTTTTTACTGTGGGTTTTGATGTTCCTTTATTTTAAAAAACACAGAATAGTCAAGAATTCCCTAGGCTCTACACAACCGATTACGGGAGTAGGACATCCTGGGAGCAGCCCTGATTTTGAGTCAGGAGCTGGGGCACACCTTCTGTCATCTGAACGGCAAACATTCAAACATACCTCTTCAGATGACTCACTAGGGCAACTGCTGATCAAACACCAAACCCACAACAGAGCTGCTCAAACAAACACGGAACCCAGCACCTGTCAGACTACCAGTTACATCCTGCATTAAACCAAGCAAAAGCAGCACTGGCATTCCGGTCACAGAAGGTACATTCTGTCTTAAGGCTGGAGAGAAGCACAGACTGATTTGGCTTGGAAGGGACCTTAAAGATCATCTAGTCCCAACCCCCTACCATGGGCAGGGACACCTTCCACTAATCCAGGTTGCTCCAAACCCCATCCAACCTGGCCTTGAACCCTTCCAGGGAGGGGGCAGCCACAGCTTCTCTGGGCAACCTGTGCCAGTGTCTCACCCCCCTTACAGCAAAGAATTTCTTCCTCATATCTAATCTCAATTTGCCCTCTTCTAGTTTAAAACCCTTACCCCTCATCCTATCCCTACACCCCTGATCAAGAGTCCCTCCCCCCTTTCCTGCAGCCCCTTTCAGCCCTGGGAGGCCGCTCTAAGGTCTCCCCGCAGCCTTCTCTTCTCCAGCTGAACCCCCCAACTCGCTCAGCCTGTCCTCATAAGGAAGGTGCTCCAACCCCTGATCCATCTTTGTGGCCTCTTCTGGACTCTCTTGAACAGGTCCATGTCTTCTTCAACAGGTCCTTGTCCTTAGAAAAGGGTTTATGTTGGCAAAAATATTGTGAGGTTTGTTTAGGCAGTGCCCTCCCTGCTGAAATTGCTGCTCCCAACTCAGGCACTGTAGGAGGAAGGCAGGCTGTGGACTGAGAAGGGATTCAGGCTGCACGTCATTCCCACCAGACCTCTTGGGCACCCTCCATGCCTGGCTCACATTTTATTTGGAAAGCACAGCCACATTCCTCCCTGCCTAGTATGGGAAGGAAAGAGCTGGTCAACACAGGCTCATGTCCTAAGACTGGAATAAAAGTCCTCGCCTGCAAACAAACATTCTCTGCCTTCCCTAGACAGGAGTCACCAGCCACATACAACAGAAATCAATCATTATATTTACTGTATCAAGAAATGTTCTTTTTTAATAACAAGATTGTGGACGAAGGTGGATCATTTCTTTGCTCTTTGCAACCTGCCTCCATCTGCTGACACTGGGAAAAATAACCTGCTTTTCTTGAGTGGTTCTGGCAAGAGTCGAAGTTTTGCTGAAGCTGACAGAGTACCTGACACCCGGTTGCCAAGAAAATTAGCAGAAGCTGAGAACCCATACTCCTGGACAATTCTGAACATCTCAGCATAGTACCTTACAACATAACTTCACTGAGCTGTCACCAGCATGTCACAACAGGGGGAGTTTGGAGCCCCAAATACCACAAGTCACTTGGATATTCAAGATGTGTAATAAAGTCTAACCAAGAACAGAATATGACTCAGCAACTTCAAACGAAACAGCTATTAATTTTTTATTAAAAGCTGTTAAGTCACTATATATGATCATCCACAATTTAACAGCTAACGAAATGCAGCCTCCAGGATACGAATTATCAGAAGCAAATCATAGAGGAACAAATTGTGAAGAGCATATAGTCCCTTTCTCCTCTCTGGCACTGCAAGGATATTAAATCATCAAACACAGCCCAATAAAACTGACACCCAGACAGGTTTAAAAAAATAAAACACTGCTGTCTGCCACCTCTCAGTTACAGGACTCTCCATCAGACCAAATCATGCATCTTGTAATAACAGTGGTTACAGACAGTACCACACTAGTTGTCGGAGAGTTCTGAGGAGCCCAAAGCTCTCAGGACTGCCCAACAGTGAAGGCAGGCCACAACTCAAAAATATAGTTTGTTACTCAAACTTTTTTCCTCTTGAAAATATGTCTGATATGACAATTGAATAGGCATAAGCATCAAGAGAGACACAGCTAACCATGAATGGGGAGCAAGGCTGGATTTCAACAACTATGCCTACATAGAATAATTAAAGGAAAAATTAAAGCATGCCTTTCATATAACCACCCCTTCCATATTCACCTTCTACTTCTTCCTACGTATGCTCTGTATGTTCACAGGCAAAGAGACGGGCTCAGAGACGAGGGTGCTGGATGCCCTAGATGGTTTTAAAGCTTTTGCACTGATTCCCTGCTTTGCATGCCATCATGGCAGGAGCTTTGATTTCTCAGTGAACCACTTCTCAGCCACCCAACTGAAGATGGCAAAAGCGGTCTCCATTTCAGAGGATCAGTGTACTGTGTTTTCCACCTAAGTTTCAACCTGAAGAAACTCAGGGGAGCATGCCAAGAAAGGAGGTTTCCAAAAGTAAGCTCCCTTAGAAAATAAAGTACAGAGCAAAAACCAGACTCTGTACATGTTTTGTACCACAGTCCGAATAACGCGTTCTGCAAGTTTTCTCCCTTGTTCCACTGCAGTGTAACACGCCCAAGTTTGGTACCTTACGGTCCCTGAACCCAGAACGCTTCTTCTTCTTCCCTTCTGGCGGGGCCTCCTCATCACCCGACGCAACAGCCTTTCTGTCCTCACTGCTGCTGCTCTCCTCCTCCTCCTCCTCCTCGTGCTTCACCTTCTCACTCGGCTCAGTCCTTGGATCATGTTTTACAGAGGATGAGTTTTCTGCGTATGCCCTGTACAAGGGAAAAGAAAACATCAGTTTAGAAAATTATTGAGAGGGATGCCAGGGCTACAAAGATGGCCCTGGGAGGTTGTCCCTGAATGAAACACCTGCTACAATTCAGCATGGAGGATTGTGAAGCAAAAGCAAATAAATGATCAGTCTCCTTGGAATATTGGGTGTTTTTCCCTGCTGTAATCAAATTTCTACACTCCCACCCCCCTTCAAATCCAAACTAATTATCACAGTACATTTTGCCAGCCCAAAGCCACCGGAGAAATCACTCAAGTGAATTATCATACCCTCTCCCTAAAACTACACATGCAAGAAGATTGAGAAAGGCATACCATACCTCCTCTAACACTAAATTCCACCCCTGCTTCTCCAAAAAAGATTTATATAAAGTGATAGAAATGTGTTTTACCATCAACACTCCAGGATTCAGAAAGAACAGCCTCTTTGTTTCAGCTCAACTGATTTATTTTCTATCTCCAGCAAGTGACATGCTGTTTTATTTCCCTCTTCCACCAATGAGTCTTCTAAACTCCAGTGCCACAGAGGATTTGTGACAACTGGAGTTGTTTATCCTCAATCTGGAAATACAACTCTCTGAGAGCAAAGCACCCCTTTTCACTTGCGGTTCAAATACAAAGATCTTCAGTGACCTTGTTTGTAGACCAAGACTCAATACCCAAAATCTCTCAGTCTAAGACGTGAGCAATTTGCAGAATTGCAACTGGCAACAGGGTGGTTAAATAAAAAGCAGGATAAATCCATAAGCCAAACAATGCTGTGGCTTTCTTATGCTTTACTTGTAAAGTGGTTTATAATGAGACAGAGCTCAGACCACATTAACATCAGTGAAAATATAATCTCTATGGATACATTAACATGTCACAAGCAACAAAGCAAACGGTTTGACAAAATTATTTCTCTTTCTAAAGGACTCAAACAGCTCAGGCAAACATCCTAGCAAGCCTGTAACTTAAGCAAAGCTGCCTCTACTTGCATTCCCCATGATTTGTTTTGGGCTAATCACAGGGTACAGGGCTCACACAGAGCTAGGTGCTGCTCCCTGGCCAGCAGTCTTCAGAAAGATGAAGGCTGGTGGTACTTTGGTACTCCCTGTAACTATGAACATGGTCATTTACCTCTGTGTGAGTTTATTCAAAAAAGGCTGCCTTGGGAAAACAACAAAAACCAAGATTTTTGAAGTCTCCCAAGCTCTAAGCAAAAGGCTACACATATTTCATCCTACCAGTTTCCTGGAAAACACAGCTGTGGTATGTAAAATTCAACAGAGAAGAGTCTGTGCTTGTCTCCCCAGCAATACACAGCTTTGCAGCAATCTCACACCATCTTCCAAGAAGAGATGAGGGCAGGTGTTCCTTCAATTAATTTAAAAGCTACCCCAAAAAAATGACAACTCACTCCTCACCAGCATCCAATAATTGACTGTCACAGTACTGGATAGATAGAGAAGGGCTAAAGAGCTCCTTCCATAGTACTAGTGAGAAGCAAAAACTTGATTATTCTAGAATAAATTCCCAAAGAGCATACTTAAGAATAAATCACAATGAAAGCAAATTAACTTTTGTTCATATTGTGATAACTACTTCAGCAAAGTACCAATAGCACTTGAACAACCACCAAAATCCCAGCATTGCTTTGAAATGCAATAACCCATGGCATTACAGCTGGGTTAAAGCAGTGCAGAGGTTTCTAGTCCATGCCGGGACAGAACGCAACTCTGTCGCAAGGGTTTGATTTAATAAAATACACTAGTGCTTGGTGAAGAGCAGTACTAATCATGCCTTTCCATGCACAATGGAGTCTAACACACCAGCCTCTCCTTTCTGAAAAGGTCCTGAGCTTTTACTTGACAAAATATTTTCCTAAGTCTTACAGCAAAGCACCATCTTTAAGACGTTCACTGAACCAATCTTTCAGAGACAGGATCCAAAGCTGAGTCCTCCCCAAGAATCTTAAGACAGGGAAATTATTTCCCCAGAAGAGCCAGGCAGCTGATCTGTGTCTTGGAGCATGAAGTCCATGCTGGCACAGCTCCTAAAGCCTTTCCTGAAAGTTTAATCAGCACTGGCACATCCTTGTGGAGCTGTGGTTTTGGCTGATACGTAGTTTGCTAGAATAAACTGTGGCCAGCTGAGGCTACACCAGCATTACAAGGAAAGCCCTTGTGTAGGCAGGACACCAGCCTTAAGTAGCTCTGAGAAAATCTATTGGGAAAAGGTCCTGGGGACAGAACAGCAGTAGAAAATTGATTGCTTATCTACACAACCAAGCTATTCCATATTAAACATAACAAAGAATAGCTGTATCGGTAAAGATTTGCTCCTGTAATGCTTGAATGACAACTAGCAAACCAGGGAAGTGATAGATGAAATAGAAAATAAAACATTTTCAGCAAATCCTACGCATTCCTTCAATCCATCATGCTGTCAAACCAGTTGGCTACAGCAATACAGGCATAGGCTGTTTGAATACAGTTGGCTTTTTTTCCCCACCTCTAGTTTATCCAGGTAATTAACTCTGCTCTACAGTTAGATCACCACCCCAGCATACAAGCAAGATGAGCTATGAGAATACAAGCAGTTAGTAGTCTACTTCTCAAACAAGTTTTTAAACAGTTACCTGTTATTCCTCACTGCCAGGCCATGGTCACAACTAGTCCTTTCTGAATTAACTATTGAAGGATCTGCTCTCTATATACAGCTACTACACTGTGTATTTTACATCCTTCACAACCATCCTCTGTTGAAATCCTTGGCTTCCAACAACTGCAGCTTCCATACTGTGCCCACATAAAGGAGCCTTTCAATGCAGATGTCAAAGTATGGCTGGAAAAAACCCCATAGCTCCAGAAATACCCACACTGCTGGACTGCCATCAGCAAGTGAAGACTCACCACCTCCTTTTCTGATGAGGCTGACTTTCCCATGGCATGCCTGTTGCTACAGCTTCTGCACAAAATGGAAACGAAAACACAAAGACTCCCTTCACTGTGTGCCAAGACTAGCTGCCGGCCTGTCTTCATGGCCCATGCCTGCCCCAGATCCTAGCTGCCATACTTCAACTCTCACAGTCTTTTCAGGTATCTTTTCCCCCTGAATTTGAGGCAAAGACCATATTTCCCACCTACTTAGTTACGTCTTCTTTTAATCCTTGGAGAAAGCCAACAATCTAGCGTAAGATGAGGTTCATTGTCCCCAAAGAAAACCACCTGGCTACCACAGAGGACTGACTACTCAACTCTAAATTCTCACTTGGCAAATCATTCTTGGAGAAAGCCAAATGCACGCATCCATAGGATATACATCCATGAAGGATCCTGGGACTCACACCAGGCATTGGCACAATACTTCACAGTTGCAGGTCTTCCAATTAGAGAAATCACAATCCCTCACTTATATAGTATTTTTCTTTGAGTGACAGAAGTAGAACAGTGTGATAAAATAACAAAGCCTTGTGCCACAGATAACAGTGTTGTTATTCTAATCCCGAAGGCAGTAGAGAAGTACTTAGCTATCAGATGCTGTTTAGTCTCAGAAGAAAAGTAAGAGACCTAGCAAGCTGGGCACTTCAGACAGGAAGGACAGTGCCATCAAACAAGGAGCAGAAGAGAGGAATCCTCCCTGACAGATGTGTTCTTCAGTTGACTAGAGTTGCCACTCTCCCTGTATGGAAACATCTGGAAACATCTGAGTGAGGCTTAAAAGCTACTTAAAACTTCAGGTTTTCATATTGAAATATGAAAGCAAGCTTGGACACAACATTCATAAAAACAGGCAGCCTCCAGGGATCTGTAGTACTTTCAGTGAGGAGTTCTGTCTCATCCTCAGCTCAACCGTATTCAGCAACTAAATTAGTTAGCTGAAACTTTAATAAGAAATTAACCAGAAATGATGAAGATTCACAGCCCAATTTTTCAGCATGTCATGCCACTCACAAGACTTTTTACTACTTTGCTCCCTTCCCCATCGTTCACAGTACTTGACACTGACGTAAATTAGCGCAATGGATTTGTGGCAAGAGCTGCAATGAACACACCAAAATTTCGGCAGGTTCCAGGGATGAACGTGAACGATTAGATTGAGGAGACATCTCTGAATGTCAGCCATAGCCTAAAATAGGTCCAAGAACATAAGGAGACAGCAGTGTAGTCCGTGAGATACGCACATCCTTCCTTTCACCCCAGCCAGTAGCAGGAACATCCCCACAGAAAGCACCTTCAGCTACTGACAGGGCACTCAGCAAGGTGAGAACTGCTGGACATTGAGGAGTCACTGCTAGACCAACCCGAGAAGATCCGATAGGGAGCAGCAAGAATGGTTAAGGGTCTGAAACACACACTGTGGGAAAAACTGACCTAAATAAGTCAGATTGCTGTAAGAAAGATGGAAAAGAGGAAGGTGAGATAACTGTAATACATATAAAACAGCTGCTGCAGGATTGTTTTCTTGGCCCAGCATAAGATGCAGTACATGTGCTTAAAGACATCATAAGGGAAGAGACTTACACACTGGGGAGAGGAGGAGAAGCCTGTGCATACATACACATGTAGACATACACAGGAAGAGTTTAATGTTAAGGACAGAGGAACACTGGAGTCAGCTGTCAGGGAAGATTTATTCCATCAGTGCTCTCTCTATCACCCGCAAATTGCTATAAATAGTGAGACAGCTGCCTGTCAGGACTAGCTCGGAGACACCCAGCCCTGCCTTGGCAGCAGACCTGCTGATTTCTCACGCTCCCTCCCACTCCCCTCTTCCACAGCCCAGTTCAGGCACCGGCACCAGCATGTGGGTGCAGATGGACAAGCCAGAGAGTGAGGATCTCTGCTTTAAGCCCCTTCAAGGGGACTGTCCTGAAGATGAACCCAAAAGGTTTTCGGTCGGTCTCACCAGGTAACTCGGATCAGGGGGGATACCATGCTGCTCCTTAGAGATGATTCCCTGATAGGCTGCAGAGAACAACTGCTTCAGAGAGGCCGTC